ACCCTTAATTAGATAATGACTAAAGTTATACGTGTGACTAGTTGTACTTTCGTCGATAGACTACTGTATAATAATATATAACTATTTATTATTCACTAATAAAGACATCCAGGCAAGATGCCGCTTAATAAAAAAAAAAAAAATAAAAAAAATAAAAAAAATAAAATAAATAAAATAAATAAAATAAAATAAAATAAAATAAAATAAAATAAAATAAAATAATGAATATTATAAATATATAAATAGAATAATAAAATTTAAAAATTTTGTAGTTATTTTTAGAAATTAAATTTTAAAGAATTTTAAAATGGGTATAACAACTTAGTGAAGTGGTTGGATTGGCACCTCCAAGCGGCACATCTAGAATTTAATTCCCACCAATAATGAAAAATTGAATTCTTTTATATAATGATAACTCTCTTGTATATTGGGAATAAGATCCTATAACATTGGTCATATCTTATATAGAAAGAATATCTATTGCACTATTGGGTTGATCTAAGAGGAATCTTGGGCCATTTGTATAATGTATGAGTAGCACAAAGAGGATATAAAACTAGTAAGATGGTGTAAACTCATAATAAGTCCTCATAATCATATTAATATGATGAATAGTACTATGAAAAACCTGCTTGGCAAGACCCAAATAAAAAGATAGCACAAGCTTTTGACAGTGCTTACTGAAATAGGCTTCACCTGAGGCTGGAAAACTGAATGAGGCAAGAGTACTAGTAAGTTGCTTCATCAATCAGGCTGTCAGGTTGATCAGAAAAAAAGACTAGTGTCCTTTCTGGGCCATCTGGATTGGTAGTCTGAAGAGACCAACTAGAGTATACTAAAAGTGAAGATACCAGTTTGTCTTGAAGGAAGAGTACTGGGGCTTGGGTAAACTTTGCAAGGACCAGATAGTTAGGCAGTATAGTCTGCTTGTAAAGGTTTAGAACCTATCCAGCTACTTATCTGTGGTAGAAATTGGTGGTGTAGCTTGTTTATAAGATATAAAATTTATCTGGTAATATCTATCTGAAAAAAGATTAGATCATATATTAAAAGTAGATAATGGACAGCTCTAGCAGGTGATATACTTAAGGATAAATTGGTTAATCATGCTGGTAGTCCTATAGGTAACTTGCAATGATCTCAGAACTTGAACTAACTAATGTATCACATATTCTGTATGAAGCTAGATGGATTGGTATAGGAAACTCAGATCAGAGGGTTTAATTGGGTAGCTCAAGTAATAGTGGGTTACAGGTATAATATCTAGTATAGAATCTAGTAATAGGTAGATACTTAATTAGATGCTTAAAAGGTGCAGATATGGCTAGAATGTACTTTTGTCAGAATGTACTTGTTTGGGGCCCCTTGAAAAGGACATCATATGATCCTAATATCTAATAAAGAGCAGGAAGCCAAAGAGGCTAACTTTGACTACAAGATTTTTTTTTTTTTTTATAAGGTGTTTTTTGGGACCAAGCTTTATTGATGTTTAACTGTTGACCACATGGGTCTTACATTTAGTATTACAATGAGAGTACAACTAGCCACATATACAACTTTTGGTTGTCTATTTAAGTAGTCTGCCTGAAGATTCTATACTAGATGCCATATCTATAACCCAACTAGAGGATTATCTATTTAAACCCTCTGATCATACATATCCACCAATTATTCTAAGCTAGATACCTTTATACTGAAGTGCCCCCACTTATTTACCTGGATTTGGTTACCTATTGGTTTTCCTAGGGTCCCCACAGGTGAGCATAGTAGCTGCCCCCTAATTCTTCTATGTCTTACACATTTCCGAATTAGGTTCAGAGAACCTGTCTACTATGGCCGAAACCAATATTAGTGGTCAAGACTAATCATTAAACTGTACAATTCTTGGTTTCCCTGCCCTTACAAGGTTTGTTCCAATCCTAATACCTATATTTACTTTCCTTCTGGTCTTTATACCAATCACTTCCAAACTGGTATGTTACGTTATAATTCAGCTTCTAAGTCTGTTATATTATAGGATCTCTCTTCACATATTAAGTGATTTAATGCTTCTTCATTATTACTGATAATTGAAGTGATAGGGGGAATTGGCATATTGGAAAAATCTTTTAGAGAATTCCACTTAGTAAAAGTATATTTTCTAATTGAGTAAGAGCTTCATATTCAATTACAGCAGAGATATCATTTGCGTCATCGAGATCTTGTAATTGCACATGAGCTCGATATAAAATATCCTTACACAACGCTACTTTATGATTATCTTATAACAACTCAGGTTTCACCAATTGGCAAAATAGAAGTATAGATACAAAAAGCTGTCGAAGTTGGTGTCCTGTCTGTACAGAACTTGCTTCAAGCAAACAGGCATCCCATTCAGTATCGTCCTGAAGAAGGCCAAGATAAGAGCAAGCTTCTTTGAAGCTACTATATGTATAGCCGTTGATAGTTTTTAGGTCATCGAAACCGGTTGCATCTTTTACATGAGTAAGTAAAGTTCGTAGATAATATCTCTCACCTTCAGAAGGTTGTATTATGTAAAGTCACACAATTATAGTTGTTGATGTTTTTCTAGATGTTTATTTACAGCATGAAGAATTCCAAGTATAATAAGAAAGAAAGTCGATGTAGGTATATATACGTGCCGTCGGGTTTTTTATATTCTCCTGAAACTAAGCAGTCAAGGTTGTCATACGATTTTGATTACAGTTGGCAACATTCTAAAGATTTTCTTTATCTTGAAATGTAATACGTTGACATCTATCGAGATGAACAGCAAGCCTTTGTACCTTTGGACTTCAGTTATACAATTTATAATGAAAAATTCTCCAGATACTTTCCGAAGCTGAAACATACCTTGTATCCAGGTATATTTTGATTTTATCAATCTGGGCAACTTTAGGTGAAAGTTGTTGATTATTAGCTTGGTTAGAATGGGCAAACGTAACAGTTGCTCGATTATGTCCTTTATATATGTATTTATATAGGTATTTAACAGCCTTTATAGAACTGCAAATTTTAACGTTAATATGAGCATTATATTTTATACATAATTTGACGTTATACAGTACAACCTATATATTGTCAAATTGAATTCCATCTTTAATAAAACGTGCATTGTTTCGTCTGCGATAAATAGGATATCCACTATCACTTTCCAAGATACGCTCTTGAAAAGTTTTAGAATAATGTTTTGTACAGACACTATCTTTCATACACGGTGCATTAGGCTTTAGTAAACCACACAGACCATGTATCATCATAGTTGTTACTGTCTCATAGGCAAGTAGATATGTGCGAATGTCAGGGATTTTAGCAGAGACAATGGAGTTATAATCTTCTATTGTTTATAATTTGTCGTCTGGAGCAAGGATTGTCACAGATTAAAATGAAATCTGATCAAAACGAAATTTTTCTGTTTTTTAAAAAAATATAAAATTTTTTGGGAAACATTTTTTGGGGTTCTTTTTAGAATTAGGGGTAGCGTTTAGGGTTAGGTTTATTAATAAATAAGTATATGTGGGTTTTATAGGCTCTAAGGGTGGGCATGAGAGGTCCCCAGTTTCATTTTGATCAGATTTCATTATGATCTGCAACAAGGATTAATAGAATATGCGCATAGGAAAAACCACGTTTTTGGAACTCTACTACATATATGTATGCAATAACTTTATCAAGCCAATGGTTATTACACAAATCTTTTAACAGTGTTTATAATTTTACATGAAATATATGGGCTGTTAAATCAGACCTATCAGCAGCATTTTAAAGAGGTAATAATTATTTAGTAACTTCTGGCCATTTAGAATTACATATAAATGTAACAAAAAGATCTGGTTTTCAAAGTGAGCAATAATTGCTATTGCATCTTGATATAACTGATACATTTGACATGGTCCGTCTGTAAAAGATGATGGAAGTATTATATGATGACCAATAGTGTTATTACAATCTCCAATATGTACGGTGTCTATAACACCTTGATAAAATTCAGCGTGAAGTGATTTTTGATTACATTTAAGGTAAATTAAATAATTCTGTTCTATTTTAGCATACTGTTCAACAATATACTGTTGATATAAGTGGCCAGCACATTGTATCCAATCACCATCTCTAATCTGCAATTGATAGGAGTAAAATTGTATAATTGTTACTTGTTCTTTTTTAAAGCGTTTATAAGTGGTATATTTGTGTGCCACCTATTATCACCTTTAGGGAATAATAATACGTAGTGGAGCGGGTTATATGAAGGATGAAACTCTGATATTTTCTGCAAATTTCCATTATGTGTTCTAAGAAGAATGTCATGACTCGTTAGATTTACTTCATGACCATCACCACCATTATTGCAGCTACATCAGGAGCTGTTGGAGCGTTATAACGACGAATGTCTCGATTTCTATCACTATGAATTATCATCGAAATTTTAGTGGTTATATTGTCTTGTATGAGATTTCTCATGTGACGAAAATTTTGGATGTACAGGTTGCAGGTATCTAGCATATTTTGTAAATTCTGTAGAATGTTTTTATTTAATTTCTGCATTATGTTATAATGGTTTGTAATTTCATTTGCAGTATCATAAATATATAGTTGAGCAAACATTGGTGTGAGACCTTTATTTGGTAATAATGATCTGATTAGATGATAGACTTGGCCATGAATTCGAAAATTTGATATACCATGTCCCAAAAATTGTTTATCTATGTTAGCACCAAAAAATATGCAAGCCAAAGCACTGTTATAAGCTCTAATGTGTTTACAAAAGTTGATTGCATCAGAATTAGTTAAAATATAAAGATTCAGTAGGTAGAGTGGGGGTTCAAGTAAAGGCGGTAATTGTACTTTGCTACTAGCGCAACAAAGAAGAAATTTCGGAGCAGCATATTCACTATTTTGATTTTTTTCAATCATCCAAAATTTAGCTTTATAATGTTGACAGGTCTGATCCATTTTACCCATATCATAACATTTAGTTTTATCGTGGTGAGAACTCAGATTACTTTGGGTATTAGTTAACTTAAAATCAGTAATCATAGGGACTTCAGTGGTAAGTAAAGGTGAGAAGTCATTAGAATCAAATTCAGTATCTATAGCAGGAGTTTCAACTACAACTGTAGAAACTTCATGTTAAGTAAGTATTGAAGTTCTTCGGAAACATCATTAGATAGGTGTGAGGTAGTTTCCTTATTATTATCTCTAAAGCATTTCTGGTGATCATGATTGAGTTGCTTTCATCGTTCTTCTGACAGTGCAGAATCAGAATCACTATTAATAACAGGAGTTTTAACTGTAAGGACTTCGGTGTTAAGTAAGTAGTGAAGGTCTTCAGAAACATCAATAGATAAATATAAGGTAGTTTCTTATTCTTGTTTTTAAAACGTTTCTGGTGCTCACGGTTGAGTTGCTTTCGATGTTTTTCTAATGGTGCAAAGCTACTGGAAGGTGTTGTCATATCTAAAAGACGAAAGATTACACTTGAAAGGTAGGGATATTAAAAGCTTTAATGGGGTAAATTCAAAATAATACACTAATAAAATTGAAAATTTGATGTGATAATATATATAATTGGCAAAGTCAAAAGTCTCAGTTTAAATAAGTTTTGTTCGTATGATCATTATCGAGTCACGAAGTAATAAGAAGAATACAATTACATTTAAATTATAGAAATGGAAAATTATTGAATTCACGTATTAGCGATAGGCTTTGATTATAACACGACTTATATAGAGTAGGGCTTAGAAGCAAAGACAATATCATAAATTTAGCATTATATAGGGCAGGGATTGAGATTAAAGATAAGATTATATTTATACAATGATAATAACCAGAACGTCATAAGAGTTGTAAAAAAAAACTAATTATATTATGCTGAGTGCGTTTCTCCAGTAGGCTTGAATATAATTATTTAATATAGTTGAAATTGTGGATATGCAAAAAAGAAATTAGGTAATTTCTTAATATGGGAGGCAAAAGAAAGATTGTCATGAAAATGGATAGGGCATTGTGATATATTAAAGATAGTTTTTAGGTAGATATTTTGGTTGTAAAGTTTATATCAGTTGGCAATATATAACGCATCAAAAAAAAACAATATTCATATATAAAATTTAATACTTTATTAAAACTTTAAATAAATGTATAATTGAAAATAGCAATAAATTGTGAAATCATATTAGTAGTAAAAATCAACATAACGTAATGCAAGTTTATTTAAGAATTTAGAGATAGTAAAGAAAAATAACAATGAGAAAGTTTATATTAAAGAACCAAAA